CAAGTTCTAAAACTGAAATGCCTCAAGAGAAACATGTATTGGTTCAACATCGAGAAGGAGAGACTGTTACTCGTTGTGGAAGAGTTTCTCGTCCTCATATTAAGTTGAATTTGTGAGGGCGAAGTTGAAAGAAAGAGAAAAATGGACTTGAATCTTGTACTGGGAAAATTGAGAAAATTTGACTTTTAAAAAAGGAAAGGTGAAGTGTTGGAAAAAAAAAATGTGTGAAAAAGAAAATGTGAAAAAAAATGTGAAAGAAAATAATTGTGAAAAAAACCCCCAAAGAAAATAATTGTGAAAAAAAGAAGAGATTTGTATCATATGTATGTTTGATGGTTTGATGCTTTATGAATAGTGGTAGAGAAATTGTTTACAAGAAAAAGAGGGGGATGTTGTGATAGGAATTGAATATGTATAGCCACTAGATGGCGGTATGCGAATGTATGTAAATGTGAGAGACTGGAGTAGAAGGGGGAGAGTAAAAGACAAACATACTGCAATGCCCTCATGTTTGGCTCTTTGTTTGATTGGTATCTGCTGCAACTAAACAATGGTTTCTACACCTGTATCCTGCTCTCTGGATCCTATTCCCACATTTTTAACTATGGAAGTGTTAGATACCATTGGTCCATGTATTCAGTTTATTATTAATAGTAGTCTTAATAATGGTCATGTTCCATCCTGTTTTAAACATGCAGTGATACACCCTGTACTTAAAAAGCCTACCCTTGATCCACAGGTCCTAGCCAATTGCCAGCCTATATCAAAACTTCCTTTCATTTTAAAGGTATTGGAGAAGGTTGTTTTTCATCAGCTTTCCTCCTTCTTAAAGAATAGTGATATACTGGACAAATTTCAGTCTGGGTTCAGAGCTCAGTATAGTACAGAAACTGTCTTTTGAAAGTGTTAAACGATTTGCTATTAGCTGTCGACTCTGGGAAATGTGGGGTTTTGGTCCTTCTGGATCTAAGCTCGGCTTTTGACACTATCGACCATTCTATTTTATTGAGACGACTGGAGGAGTATGTTGGAATTAGGGGAACGGCATTAAACTGGTTCACATCCTATCTTAAGGGGAGATCTTTCTCTGTAGCTATTGAGAATTTTACCTCTGTTAATGCTGCATGTACATGTGGGGTACCACAGGGTTCCGTTTTAGGCCCTATT